CGGCCGTGCCGTGGGCCCTGTTGATTTATCGAGTTATAAATAAAGATGCTCATCGCTCCGCCTACTTTCTTATTTTTATTTATTGTTCTCCAGGAGGCTTAAGAGGTTCTGGCGGTGAAGCCTCAGGTCTCTGCTGCCCCCCCGGCCCGGCCCGATAAAGGCCGTGATTTTCCACTGCGGAGTTCTCCTCCGCCGTTTCCGTTTGGGCCGACCGCTGTGATTCTTGGCCCGGCTGTGGTTAATTGTTTTCTTAAGGTATTTCGAGAAATGTTTCATTTAATTTTATTTTTTTGGTGATGAATCGGCCTGGACAACTCTTTCAGGAAGTATGTAGTCTGCCTTCCCGAAAGCTATAGCTTTATATTATTGTGTTAAGGTTTGTGATAACCTGTGCTGTGTTATTACTGGCACAGAAGTATGTCCCCGATTTAAGCAGAGAGGCGTTTCTCGCTCCTGCCCACCTGTTGGGTTCAAAACATCCAAAACCACCTAAAACCACCGAAAGCCACGGATCCTGACTGTCATGGGCTGGTTGTTGGGCAGCTTGAAATGTTTAGGCCTTGATCCTGTGTTTTAATGCGTGCACAGTCCAGTGGCCCTGGCAGGGTTACCGACCAGCCGGTGCCCAGGTGGGGGGTGGTGGGGGGGGGTCCATAAGCTGCAGTCTGAGAATTAACCTGAGCTGCCATGTTACTTTATGAATGGGCATAAGCTACAAGTTTCCTGAACAGTAAGCATCAGGAATGCTTTCAAATGTAATAATAAGTGTAATAATATGAAAATTACGAGTATGCTTTATCCTAAACAGCCCCCCCCCACCCCATGAAGTAATTACCCCACATGGAAATGAACACGGTGCATTATGCTCTTAGGCCATGAGAGGTGTCATGGTATTGCCGGGTCCATTAGTGTCTGGTCGGCGTGGCGGCCCGGTTCTGACGTGTAATGTACAGTGATTGTGCTTTAATAGCGTGTTAATAATGCTCTCATTAGGGGAAGCGGGATTAGTGCAGCAGGCCCTCGCCTCCGTAATGAGCCTCAGTGAGACACGTCTCCTCCCACTGAGCCGTGGAACGCGGCCGGGACTCTGTTCTCCTCATCTTGCTGTCACGCGCATGGTGTGTGTTTGCACACAGCTTTCCAAATTCAGACCCATCCCTTTTTTTGGCCGGGGGGGGGGGGGCGGACGGTCAAACGCAATTAAGCTGCAAGAGAAGCTGCTCGTTCTTTTTTTTTTTTTTCTCTCTTCTTTTTAGCGGGTTCTCCTTCACTCCCGGACCAGCACTGGAGTTTGGGGGGGGGGGGGGGGCGTTCCTGACCCCGCACGGGCCTCGGAAAGTGGTTGTCTGAATAGCTGTTGATGTTCCTGGGGTGGCTGTGGTGGGGGGCTGTGTAAACATTCCTCTTTCTGTCCCGTTTCATGTGCCAGTCGCTGGTATCATATTCCTCCCGACCCCCACTATCTGAAACCAATCGCCGGGCATCCATTGGGGCTGTGTCTGCCCCGGTTCCGAGCCTGGCCTGGTGTTTCCCCTCCTTGATGGATATCAGCATTAGATACTCGTCTGACTGGGCTGGTGATGTCGTATCTTTGGGTTAAACTGACCGACCTCACTGTCCCCGGCCCTGCAGAGAAGTTCTGGAGGAGCCCGTTAGGCGTAAACAGGGTGCCGTTTCGGAATGGCGTCTAATCCGTGCTCTCAGCTCCGGCGTGCCCACCGAGCCACTGCTGTATGCATTGTCCTCCGAGCTCCGCAGCCGTGAAGACCCTTATAGGCTATGTTGCCTGTTCTTTTCTGGGTGTTGCGTCATTTTCTTGTCTCGAACTCTTTAAGAGCCTCTAGACAGCTGTGCCGTGGAAGACTGGAACTTTCCATGCCCCACTGCTGGAGTCTTTAGATGCCTCGCCCAGGGAATGGGTCTTTTTGGGACCGGCAGTGCCGAGGCGGGCGGGCGGCGTTATTCTCCTGGCTCACTGCCCCCGCTGTTCCAGGCGGCCCTAATTACGCCAGGGGAATGTGATTGGTCGTCTCTGGCTCGTAGGGATGTGTGCCTGTATGACTCGCACTGCACGCGCTTGCAATTCTGCAGTCCGACGGCAGCATTAATAGGTGAGGCTGGGAGGACGGGCGTTAACGAGAGCGTCCGTAGTTTATTTTTATCTCTTTGTAGGTTGAAGGGAGTTGTTGAAATTCGTCGTTGTTGAAGTTAGCGCCGTGAAGTGCCCAGCACACAATTAATCCCGAACAGCCAAAGCTTGCCGTACCTCTCAGCCCGACCCCGTTCTCCTGCCGTCCGCCGGTGTTCAAGCGACGGACCTCAATGTCGCCGGGTTCTTCGGGGCGCAGGGGGGGGGGGGGATGCAATTCGCCATCAGAACTGGCCAGGAGAGCAAATTGCCCTCCTGCCAGCCGCGCCCATTAACGGGGGCGCTCCTGGGTGGCAGCCGTGGCTTCTCCGCAAAATGACGCGCCACGCTTGGGTAGTTTTGAAATTACTTCAATTTACGTCCCCCGTCAGATGTATTAGTGGCATGTTTTGAGTACTCAGGAAATAAATTGAAACGGGGGGGCGAGATTCCGAGTGGCCCGGATTCACTTCCCATTAATGTGCTCTTAATTTCATTCTTTTCCAGAGACATGAATATTTTGACTAAGGTTTAAGAAGCGACACACCAACCCCCCCCCCCCCCCCCCCCCCCAGCCATTCACCATTCTCAGCTATTTGACCTTGTGACAAACGGAAATCTGGGGCGGCAAAAACCTTCACGCCACCCCCCTCCCCCCCGTACCGGCGCAGAGGCCTGTCGGATCACCCCAGCGTCACACGCTTATAATCCCGCCTGTTGTCGGAAAAGGCCTTTTGAAGCCACTCCGCCTGAACAAAAGAGGAGTAAATGGTAAAGGATGATGGGTTGCAGGCTTCCCCCCCCCCCACACACACACACACACACACACACTCTTCCAGTGGCTCCTGAAGTTGTGACCTGGTCCTGAATGCCGCTACCAGATCCTTTCCTGGGGAGACAAATCAATGTTAGGACACAGTGCCACTGCCTGCAGTTTGTTTACTTTGGTTTTTGGTGTCTGTCTGCCGCCGATGAGAGCCAGTCTGCACCGGCCCCCGCTCTGTCTTTTCATAATTGATCAGGGGTTGGTTGCTTTCCCCGAGGGTTAAGACGTGGCAACTTTTTTTTTTTTTTTTTCTGTTTGCTCAGCATCTCAATGTAGTAGTTCAAACATTGTTCACACCAGCTGCCAGTGTAATGTCATATGAGCAACCTGTCAAAGCAACTGTTGTCATGGATACCAGAGAGTTGAGGAAAAAAAAAAACCTTGATTCTTATGGAAAAAGTCTTTCGCTATCTGAAGTGTGTGTGTGTGTGTGTGTTTGCCTCTGTCTCAAAGAAACACCAGTGAAGTTGTTTTTTTTGTGTGCTTGTGTGTCTGTGATTTTGTGGGATAGGGCCAGAGTGCTTGTTTTTTCAGCTGTTCCTGACTGCAGTTGCCCTTATTTACATTAGTTTCCTGAACCCTTAAGAGCCAGAAAGGCGGTTTTCTGGAGTGCTTGATGTACCTGTGATGAGAGGTCTCTCACATCTTTGGATTTTGTGTGTGTGTGTGTGTGTGTGTGTGTGTGTCATTTTCCCCTTTTTTTTATTTTTTTTATTTGTTCTTCCATCTCCGTTTTCTCCTCCACCCTCATCTGCAGCCCTGTTCCTGATGTGGTATCGATCTTAAATGGCAGTTCTCTCTCCCGTCTAACTGAATCGTCCATTCCATGGTGAGGTGCGTTCCTTAGCCAGATCGCCCGCTCGGACAGGATCGAGCTCCGCAGCAGTATCGTGCTTCCTGACAAAACAAAAACAAGAAAGGCTCTTGGCACATTACTGCCAGAGCAGGACGGGCGGCTCAGCTTTTCTTCTCAAATCGCAGTTCATGTTCTCTTTAACAATATGGCTATACTGTTGACAAACTGGAGTATACCGTGTGTGTAGGCGTCTTTGTTCTGCAGTTATCATAGTGGCCTTATTGTAATTATTTTGGTGGCAGCTGTCTTATTTTCTTTGATAAAAAACTGTTTTCTCATTTTTGACCAGCAGTCACATCGCCACAGAGCACCTGGGATGTTATAGGTGTGGTTCAGCTCTTTCACACATTTGTCTTCCCCTGGGAAAGATACTTAAATTCTCATTCTGAATCCGATTTAATGATCATTTTTTAAATTTAATTATGCCTTATAGTTGCACTTCACACTGTCTGCCTAGTATATATGTATTTATACTATGAATGTGTAAATGGTAATTTAGCAGGCATTTTCAGTATTGTGTTCACCAGATCAGATGCATTTCAGTGGAGCGTTCACTAGATCAGTTGCACTTCAGTAGAGCGTCCAGTAGATAAGATGCATTTCAGTGAAGCATTTACTAGATCAGATACATTTCATTGGAGCGCTCACTAGATCAGATACATTTCATTGGAGCGCTCACTAGATCAGATACATTTCATTGGAGCGCTCACTAGATCAGATACATTTCATTGGAGCAGAGGTGGCAATTTCAGGTCCAGAAAGTAAAAATCCAGACCATGATTTACTTTCAACCAACCAGTTGAGCATAAAGAGTCACAGTCACAGAGTACTCAACTGGTTGTTTGAAACAAAATCTTGGTCTGAATTTGTATTTTCTGGACCTGAAATTTCCACCTCTGTAATGGAGCGTCCACTAGATCAGATGCATCTCAGTGGAGCGTCCACTAGATCAGATTTCTGTGGACTTTTTGACTTTTCACGGAAGCAGTGTTATGTATAAATCAGTTGTTGTGTGAGTGGTGTGAAGTGGAGTATTGCTCTGCACAGCATATGCTCTTTGGGAGGAGAGTGTTGCTCGTAGGGATCCCTTGCCAGGGAATCAGCTCCCACTCGGGTTTCAGGTTTCCAGCATGGGCGTGCTTGCTGCTGCGGACATCGGCTAACTCCTCCGCCATCTCTCTCCTTCGCAGGCGCTCCAAGCAGCCAGGCATCTGCTTCTCCAGCAGCAGAGTGGCAGCCTGAAGTCCCCAAAGAGCAACGACAAGCAGCGCCCCCTGCAGGTGAGGGCACCCTGGCTCGTCTCTTAGGCCCTTGCATCATTCACGGCCCCCTCTCAGTGACACACTGGGTGTGGTCTGGCTGCCTGGGGTCTTCCGGCAGAAACCCACATCTTCAATTTTGCCTGAGTGATCCTTGTGCCCCTGAAATTCGACCTGGTGAAAGGAATGCCGTCTTCACTATCTGTGCATGTGGTGGTCAGCTTTTCTCCAGCTGGGCAGCCTGGCTTCTGCCAAGTGCCCGGTGGGGTGGCCTAATCGTGCCTCATGGTCCTCTTTAGCACGGTTGCCAACTTTGGTCAGCTGGCAGGCAAGAGATTTTAAATTCGAGACCAGTTTGCACACACATTTATATGTATGTAATACTTTTATTACCTTGTAAGTAGTCTGTAGGGTTTGCAAACTTTCAGAGAGTTAAGGGACAAAAGAACTTGTTTAAAAGCATTTTTCTGACTCTTGAGAGTTAAGTCATTTTGGATTAAGCTAAAGGTCAGGATTCCTGCTAAAAGGTCAGGATTCCTGCAAGAGCTACCCATGATTTGGAGAATATTGCACTTAATTCCTAAAAATTACACAGAAACAGATATAAGCCTTAAGTGGTCATTGCACCGTTAACCACAGTTTCACCAGGATTGCCGTACACGGGTACATTACACATTCGCCATTCTTTTCAAAATTTGCGGTCTTTCGTGATTTCCTGTATTATTTTGAGGGCACAGTTTTCACTATTGCAAACAGAAGTATTCTTTGTCATAATAGTGAGCATTATGGGTAAATTGCTTGTATTTAGGTAAAATCGCTGCTGGCGTGTTTAGTTCCCCACCCCTTTGGTGGGTGCCGATGTTGCTGTTCGTTAAGGGGCCTGGGTGAACCTCCCCAGGAATTCTGTTTGTTTGACTTGGGGAAGACACCGCGTGCCAGAGTGTGGCTCCGCTTCCGTCAGGCTCCACAAGGATGTGTATTGTCTGGGAGTCGGTATTTTTTGGCATAAGGCTGGCTCACTGGATATCGCACAGTGCCAAACCTTTAACATAATGATCTGAAAAGTTCTGAGAAACCAGAGACGCCATAATTAGTCAAATATGTTTTCTTTTCTCTCTCTCTCTCTCTTTTTTTTTTTGCGAGTGATCTTTTAATTGTGTAAATACAAAAGAATAGGTAATTGAAAGACATGTCCATGACAGAATGATCTATTGTGGCGGGCTAATTTTACCCTGAATGTCACTTTAACTTCTTGCGCTGCTATCCCCCTGCACAATGGCGTCTTTATTTGGTTGTCAGAGGTGTGGATAAGGTCATAGTCACACTGTTTTTAATATATTCTTTTCATGACCCTTTTAAACAGCTGATTTTACCACCAAATAAGACGAAATATTTTATTCTCCCCACCCTTTTTATTAAGGTGACGACAGCAGTGTGCCGCTTCAAATTATGTCAGTAATTAACATATTTTCCACTTTTATTTTTAGGTTTAAATTGCGGCGCGAGTGCGAGTTCTCTTCAGCTAATAAGTGCTATCAAGGAACAGTGGGTTACCTCATTATGACTTTGTGCATTTAATTAAAGAAGAGAAAATTGGAGTTAACCTCATAGTTAATGTTTTCGCAGAGCACTACAATGCCGACACCTCCATCAGAAGTCACACCCCCAGGTTCCTAATTACGGGCCAGCGAGGGAGGGAGGTTATCGAGGCTAACGGCGGCTTTCCGTGAAGCCGCACCTCAGCTAGGCCTGCCTCGAGTAGCGGCCCGGATATCTGCTAGCGGCGACCCATTAGCATGGCGTAGCGGGTTCAGAGGCTGCCCCCACACCGGCCAGTCCATGCAGAGCTGGGGCCCCATTGCTAATGGCGTTCCGAAATGTGTGTGTCGTCAATGGAATTAGCCTCTTTATCAGTTATTCGTACTTCGGCAATGACCGGGTAAATATTTTAGCGACTCCATTTTAGCTTTAAATCATCAGTCGTTTGAACTTCTACCAGGTGAATATTATAGGTATTCCGTTTTACCTTTGAACGATTTTTCGTTTCTACTACAAACGGATACATGTTATAGCTACTCAGTTTTAGCTTTGAATGATTTTTACATTTTAACATTTAAAAGTTAATATACTCTTTGCATTCTTAAAAGTATCCTTTAAAAAATGAAAGAAGAAAGAATCAAGGCCAATAGGAGTGTGTCTCACCCAGTGCGGCTGCCATTCTTAACTCAGAAGGCGATTTATTTGATTTGATTTTTGTTCAAGCGCCTTGTTTAAAACTGCTTCCAGCTGCTCGGAGGCGGGCGGTATCCTGCACGAGGGGGGGGACGCGTGAATCCACGTGCCATTCTCCCAGCATGCTAAGCTGCGGGGCGAGACTGGCGTCGATATGAGCGGATATGTATGCGGCGCGCACGTTGGCGTTCTTGGAGAACCGCCGGACCGTGACCGACCCTCTTGGTTCTAATAACACGAAAGGACGGTAAATATTGAATATTTACATTTACATAGTCTGTGCTATCCTCATGTTACCAATATGAATCAATTTGAAGCCAGTGGCTGGCAGCCGCTATCCGATAATCCCTTCACCCAGCCTGTCTTTTATGAAGATCTTCTGCCCTCGGCACCCCCCGCGTGCGTTTAAATTTGCCCGGACTTCTCAGCGAATGCCGGCCTCACAATGTTGGGCGTGGCTGTATTTTTATGTTTTATTTTCAG